GGCGCCCGCCCGGCTCCTCCGCGTAAAATCAGGGACTTGGCAAGCTAGGAGGCGACCTGGACGCTCGGGCAGCACCCCCGTCACCGCTGTAAGCGCTGCCCGCCCGCCCAGGCCCCCTAGTACGCGGGGAGGTGCATGCTGCTGTCCACGTGTTGCGACCGGGAAACAGGTCCGCAGTGGCGGGCGCAGTGGTAGACGTCTGCCGTCCATCCGGGAGTCCTGCGCGTAGGTCTCGGCCGGTGCACCCCTTGCAGGCTCATGTGTGGGGTGATGCTGAGTGTGCTTCAGCACAGCTTCCAAACTACAGACAGTGGGAAGAAAGGCCTGGCAGAAAAAACAGCCCACGAACACCCTCTGGATCCCAGCGGTCTGACCAAAGACCAGTTGGGCATGGGGTAGTGGTGGCGGCTGAGGGCAAGTGAGGACACACCTGTTGGAAGTTTGTGGCTTGTTATTTCCTTAAACGAGATGCTCATCTGCCCCCACAGGGCTTGGGAGCAGGGAGTCTGAAGGCAAGGGCTGAGTCTGGTTCTGTGTACCCCCTGTGGCAAGATGGGCCCCGGCCCTGTGCCCAAGCACCTGATTTGCAGTGGGCTCCATGTGGGCCTGTGCCCAAGCCCAAGCCCATGGGCCCTGTGAGGTGCAGGCATCGCTCAAACGGAAAGGAGCCCTGGTTGCCCAGCCATTGAGGGAGGGCACAGCTGCTGACTACCAGGTTGTCAGTGATGGCCCACTAGCTGCTTCACACGGTTCCCGGACTCGCTGTGAGACTGGCTGGCAGTGGTTCTGAGAGGAGGAGCCTGACGCAGCCACAAGCACCCAGGGCTTAAATTGAGGGGGCAGACCTCCCCATTGAGGGCCAGGCTAGCTAGACAGCCCCCCACCTGCTCACACGCTTGTCTTGGTAGCTTGGAGCTGGCTGTCCCTGTTCAATAGGACCCCTCCCTTTGCCTCCTGAGCCCCCAGAAAGCTGCTGTTCCTCACACACCTGCCTCGTGGGGCCACAACTCTTTCTAGCCCCAGGCACCAAGGGCACTTGCCCAGCCAAGGGGTGCTGGTCTCACGCCGTCTCATCTCTCCTTCCTTTCCGGTGATTTCTACAAGCCAGCGGAATCCTGAAAGGGTTCGACCCTCTCCTCAACCTCGTGCTGGATGGCACCATCGAGTACATGAGAGGTGAGCGCGGGGCCCCAGCCTTCCCTCCTTAGCCCTCTCTCGTTTGTTTGAGGGGGCCCTTTGGAGAGACCCCCATCGGCTATGGAGATGGGGTGCCTGTCACCCAGTGCTGCCAGCTCGGTTCAAACACCAGCCTCCCAATGACTGGCTGAGCCCCATTGCCACCCACAGGGCCTGTGTCCTTCCCCCCTGAAAACCCAAAGGCCCCACGTGTAAGTCTTTGGGCAGCTATAGAGGGGTTCTGCCTCCGCTCGGCCAGGGTCCTGGGCTCGGAGGAAGTACCATGCTGAGACGGGGCATCGTTTTGTAGCGGTGGTTCCACATCGGGCAGCAGTGTGAACCCACCAGACGGGGCTTCCTGGCCCTGTGAGGAGTTAGGGTCTGGGACACCCACAGGTGTCCCTGACACCCACAGGACACCCACAGGGCAGCTCTCCCTGTTGGAGTTGACTTGATGGCAGAGTCTGGAGTGGGTTCTGACCATGTGCCCGGCAGGGTTAGGGGACAAGGAGAGGAGGAAGCCCTGTGGGGTGACCCACTTGGTCTTCTACCAGCCCTGCCTGTCCAGTGCCTGCTGCCTAGAGCACCCTGTCCCACAGGACCTCCCTCCTTTCACTGCCCCGCCACCCGGACCCTCCCCTTCCTTCCTGAGGCCCCGGCCCCAGCCCCTGCCCCCCCCACTGCTTAGGCTGCCCCCGGCTGATTAGCCAGTTTCTTTTGCTCAGCCCCCCGAGACCTGGGAGGGGACTTCCAGCCTAGTGGAGGGACGAGACTGAAGGCCTGGCTGGGACAAGCTTCGTCACTACACAGCGAGGCTGTGAGGCCGGGCGCCCTCTCCTTCCTACCATCTCAGGGGTGGCCCGTGGGCCCCCCTGTCCTCCCTGCCCTCAGCCTCCCTGAATGGCGGGGCAGGGTGGCCGGGAAGGCTGCATGCAGCATCCTTGTGCAAAGGACTCGGCTGGGTCGGCGCCCAAGAGGCCTGCCACTGGCCGTGCGCACTCTGGGGCTGGTCAGACCATGGCAGAGCCCCTTGTTACCGAGACCCTCTGAGTCTCCCCGAGGTGACTGAAACAGAAACGCCACCAGGGGGGCACTGCGGCAACCAGGGGCCTTGCACCTGCCGGGGCCCCGCCCATCCCGGCCCTGCTCACCCGCCTGGCAACTGAGTGGTGGCTCGGGGTCCGCTGATGCAGTGCGGCCTCATGGGTACTGACACCTGGGTTCAGGCTCACCCCGAGGCGCTGTGGAAGAAAGTCCTGGCGACCTCCCCCAGAGTAACCAGGGCTCCTGGGTCAGTGCCCCGACGGCAGCACGCAGCCCCACGCCCTCTGCAGCCCAGGGAAGAATAGCCTGACACCTGGCCCAGCAGCGCCACCAGGGCACCTTCCTGTAAAGCTGGCAGCCAGGGCGAGGCCCACGCTCACACTATGGGTGGCTGGCGACACGACAGCCGGGCACCACCAACAAGGACCCTTCCCATACGGGGTCGCACCGCAGGGACTCTGCTCAGCCCTAGCTGGCGCAGGGGAGGATAATCAGGCTCCTTGCGCTGCCTGGTCTGGGGAAGACCTGCAGCCCAACAGGTAACTGCATCGGGTCAGCTCGGGGGCAGTGGACTTGGCTTGCTTTTGGTCTCATTGCTCAAAAGCAAGCAGCTGCTGTTCCCGCACTTTCTGACACCCATCACCCCACTGCAGGAGAGCAGCCCCCGCCGCGGGGGCTTCTGGGATATTCTGGTTCCATTTATTTTGGGAGAGAATTCTCCCTCCCTCCCTGAGCACCACCACCTAGAGACTGGGCCCCAGAGGCCTGTCAGCTCGGTGTCCCAATTAGCTCTGGCCTGACCCTGCTGCCTCTGGGCCTGTGTCCTCGTTGCCAACCAGGGCAGCTGGCAGGGTGTTTCCCGAACGTGCCCTTGTGCTGACGGTTCCTGGGCTCCTCCTGGGGGGGCGGGCTTCCTGTGTGATTACTCCAGCCTCGGGGGTCACTGTGGGACACCCTCAGAGGGCTGAGGGCTCGCTGTTCCTGGACCTGAAGGGGGCAGGGGGATGATGTTCACCAGTGGCTGTGGCTCTGAAGGTGAGGTCTTGGGAGTGGAGGGTGGAGACCGGTCCTCCTTTGCCCTTTAAACTTGTGATCAGCGTGGTGCCAGCAAGTCAGTCCCGGCCCCAGGTGACGGTAGGGCTGCCCCATCGGGCTTCCAGGTGGGAGCAGGGAGCCAGGCTTTTTCCCAGAGTCACAGGGTGGGTTTGGTTAGTCAGCCCAGGATGAGCCTTGCCCCCCCCACCCCACCACCCAAGGGTGTCCTGCTTCTAGAAGCTGCCAACAGCCCTGCAGGCAGGCACTGGAGCGTCCGCTCACTGGACCTCAGGCAGGACCAGGATGCCCCACCTGCTCCCCTGTGGCCTCGTGGTCAAAAACCCCCCACCCCCATCTGGGTCACATCCGCAGTGGGGGGGCTGCCACGTTCTCGGGCCATGAGTCGGCCCCCTGAAGGCCCTCCTGCTCCCCGCAGACCCCGACGACCAGTACAAGCTGACGGAGGACACGCGGCAGCTGGGCCTGGTGGTGTGCCGCGGCACATCGGTGGTGCTGATCTGTCCGCAGGACGGCATGGAGGCCATCCCCAACCCCTTCATCCAGCAGCCGGATGCCTAGTGCCGCCCCTGCCCGCCGTGCGTGCTGAGTGAAAGCGGAAAGCTCCAGCATCGAGTGCGGCCTGCTTTCCAGCTGGGGTCCTGGGCACAGCACCAGCACGGCCCTGACTGGGCTCGGGGCCCAAGTGGGGACAGGTGGGTCTGCAGCCCTGCAGTCTTGATCCTTGGCCCCCAGAGGAGCCTGGGAGCAGGGCTGCCGCAGACCCCATCTAGGATTAGTGCCCCTGCCTCTGCTGTGCCCCTCCCTCAGCACCCTGTCAGAGATGAGCCAGGACACCTACACCCCCAAAAACCCAGCCTGCCCCCCCATGCCCCTCCAAGTCTCCTCTTTTTTTTATTAAAAGATCCTCTTATTGGTGGTTCTTAGACCTCTTACCATCGTCCGTCCGTCGCTGTGTCGGCGTATCTGTCCGTCGTTCTTTCTAGACGCTCCCTTCTCGAGCCCTTGCTGTCAGTTCTTTCTTGAGCTATCATTCCCACGTCTCACACTGGCCACTGTCTCCCCGCCGTGGTTTCTGTTCTTCCCCGGGGGCGGGATGTGTCTCACTTTCTGTTCCTGGAGTCATGTGTCTTGACTTTGTCTCTCATCTCTACCTGTGTCCAGTCCAGAGAGCTATCACTGGGGTCTTGACAGGAGGGGGCGGGACGGGGCGAGGAGCCTGAAGGAGCCAGAGGAATGACCGTGGGTGCTCTACTGCACCCTGGTTGACTTATCCCTTCCCTGCAACCCTCTGTGGGGGGATGTGCCATTGTCTACGGATGGGCTTTGGGTCTCTACTTCTACCACCCCCAAGTCCCCTGCGGTCAGCCTCTGCTCATGGCCACTGTGCTGCCGGCCTCCCCACCCAGGGGCTCGGACCCAACCTTGTATCAGCGCATTCTTCCAGGGCCCACGGGGCGGCCATTGGTGGGTGTTTGCAAGCTGTGTTAGACTCCTCTGCCGGGATTATGAATCCCAGCGGCAGGGCTCTCAGCGGCGTGGCCACAGGTCATGCAGCATGCGGACCTCAGGGCGGTGTCAGAGTGTTGTCCAAGAGTGGGCTTTCTGCATGCCCCCACTTCCTGCCCAGTGCCCTTGTTAGCCCCATCTATCTTCCTCCCCACTGGGGTGGGGTGGAGAGAGAGGGGGATTCTGGGGATGAGTAATGGAGAGAGCCATGAGGAGGGGTCTGGCGATGACCAGAAACCACTCCTTGCCACTGCCTGGGTTCCATCTGTCTACTCTGCTTCCCATCCCAGGGAGAAACCGTCAGGGTTACTGCCCCTGGGAATCTAAGGCAAGCGGCCCACTCAGGACAGTTCACCAACTCCAGGCTTCTCAGGGATCCTGCCCACCCTCGGCTGATGGAACCTCTGGCTTTGCCGGGGCAGGAGGCATTAACTGCAGAATGAGGGGGATTAGTTACCGGGCCTGGCAGCCAACCCGGCCTGTTCCTCCTCCTCCCCCATCACCATCTGGCCGAGTTCTGGGCAGCCACGGGGAAAAGCCATCCCTGCAGGCCACCTCCAGGGCCCACGGTGGAGAGGTGAAGGGCAACATGGCCCGCCTGCTGCTGGGGACCAGTGTCCTGGTGTTGGGAAGTGCACCCAGTGGTGAAGTGAGGAGTGGGCGTATGAGGTGTGAGCTCAGGGCCAGTCGGGTAGAGGACGGAGATGGCCAGTGTGCAGGGGTGGGGGGCCAGCCCCTCTGCCATCACCGCTGCCAACATTTCTGCCCCCCCCCTGCCCAGCTGCAAACCCACCCCCAGCCCCACTCTGTCGGGATACGTTTCAGCATCTCTGTCCACCCCACTTTCAGTTAAGAGCTTGATGGGGGCGGACCTGGGGCTAATAGTGGCTCCCGGCACGCTGGGCCCAGCACATAGTGGGCACTCAATCAAAGTCAACGAAAGGGTGACTTCAGGTCCCCTAGTCTCCACTCAGGACCCTGCTGGATATCTTGTTTTGCTTCCACAGCCCACCTACCCAGGCCTGGTACATGCTGCCTGTGGCCAGCAGGGGTCAGAGTTCACCCAGGAGCCCAAAACCTGCCCTTACTGAAAAAACAAAGCAAAACACAGAAGGCCAACTCCTAGGTTGAGGGCAGACGGGATCTGCTTCTCTGGGACCTCGCCAATTCTGGCCCCGCCGTCCCTCCCACAGCACTCTACTCAGCCACCTGGTCCCTGATGGTGTGGAGCTCACGAGGGGCACTCTCAGGTGATGTATTAGTCTGGGTACTTTAGAGAAACAAATCCACAGCCACTCATGTATAAGAGAGAGTTTTATATAAAGGTTAAGTGAGCATCAAGAGACCATCCCAACCCAGTGCTGCCCAAGCCCACAAGTCCAACATTAACCCATATGTCCAACACCAATCCACAAAGTCCTCCTCCATCTCACAAAACACATGCAATGATGCCGACTGCAGGAGGAAAGCTGAGTCAGTGAATGTGTAAACATCTCAGCGCTGGCAGCGGTCTCCACACGGCTGCTCCAGCACCCAGGGCTGCATCGGGGTAGGTCCATGTGGCTTCTCCTCAGGGATGTCTTGCAGGAAGTCAGCCGTGCAAGCTGAAGCAGGGAACTGCTAACGCAGCTGCATCCTGGTCCGACCATCACAAAGCATGAGACCCCAGAACTAGAAAGGCGAGGCTCACCGAGCCATTTATCCCTCCACCCTTCAATTAGCCCCGCATGTGTTTATCGGCCAGGTTGGCACAATAATCTAACTCCGGTGACCGCTCAGCAGCAGGGTCAACTTGGAAGTGACCAAAGAGGCTCAGGAGAGTGTTTCAAGCAGCAGGACGGTGGGATCCCAGTGGTGTCCACGGACAGACCTGCTACCGAGTCAATTCCGCCTTGGAGCTAGCCTGGAGGACCATGCCCTCTGTTTGATAAGGCTGACCATGGTCAGCGGGGATTCCCCAGAGGCTTAATCCATGTGTGGACCCTGCCGATGTATTTTGGTCCTTCCACTGTCATCCATCACCTTCTGCAAACTGGACGTTCACAATGTAAGCTCCGATACCATTCCCTCCTTTGGATTTGGATTTTATTACTTAGCATCCTAGGATCACGCAGGCTGGTATGCTTCTTCCATGGGAACTTAGATGCCTCACTTAAATGGCTGCTTGTTCGAAGACAGGCCTTTAACTCCCCGATGCTATTCTTTCTGATAGCCGGGCAACATCAGGTTTCCTCGTCACACTTTGCCTCAGCACCCACATCTTCAGGGATCTCTTCACGGGGCGAGCATCAAGCAGGGCCATGTCATAAGAAGTAGTAGCTCTTAGATTGGGGCTCGACTCCAGGGAGAGCCCCCAATCCACTCACGTATCTATGATTCATATATGTCTCTGGTGCACTTTAAAGACACCATCCATCATTATCATTTTGATAGAGAACATTATAAATCGTCCGCTTGGACATAAGGTGATTATAGTGATTAAAAAGAACCAAAAACAAACCCTTACTGTTATCAAGTCGGTACTGACTCATGGCGACCCTGTAGGACAGGGTCGAACTGCCCCTGTGAGTGTCAGCAGAGACGGGAACTCTTCACGGGAGTCGCAAGCCTTGTCTTCCAGGGTGTCCGAGTCGGATGGACACCATATCAGTGAGTTTTGTTGGTTGGTTTTGGGGTTTTGTTTTTTAGTCCGTTCATTTTTATAAGGCTCTCGGGGCCGAACGTCCCCCACCCCTGCTCTGTGGGCTCAGAGTGACCACAGTGACTTGGAAGTTCAGACACGAAGCTGAGGGGGCAGGAGGCCGTGCCCCCAGGGGAGGGGCAGCTTGTGAAAGAGGATGAGGGTGGTTGTGACACTCAGGACCGACCGTCATCCTGGAGCTGTGCCGTGCAGCCGCCGCTGGACCCCCTCTGTCTCACCGGCATCCGGCCTCGTCAGCAGAGACCATCCGTGGAAGGGGGCGGCGCCACGCTTGGTCAAGCAGGGGGCAGCGAGGAGGAGGAGGAAGGCTCTCGACCAGATGGATGGGCGCTGTGGCCGAGAAGATGGGCTCAAACAGAAAAACCTTGAAAGGGAGAGTGGGTAGGAAAGAGGGAACCGATTACAAGGAACTATATGTGACCTCCTCCCTGGGGGATGGACAACAGAAAAGTGGGTGAAGGGAGACGTCGGACAGGGCAAGATATGACAAAATACCAACTATCAAGGGCTCACGAGGGAGGGGGGAGTGGGGAGGGAGGGGAAAAGTGAGGACCTAATGCCGGGGGTTTAAGTGGAGAGAAAATGTTTTGAGAATGATGTACAAATGTGCTTTACACAATTGATGTGTGTATGGATTGCGATAACAGTTGTATGAGCCCCTAATAAAATGTTTAAAAATAAAATAAAATTAAAAAAAAGAAGAAGAACCTTGAGGCTGGTGCAGGACTGGAGGGGGTGGTCCGCTTGTACGTGGGGTCCCTGTGAGGGGAACAGACTCAACAGAACCTAACAACAACAACAGCTGTTGTGCCTGTTCTCAACAGGGCAATAAAGGGCAAGGTGGGGAGAGAGGGGGAGCCAATCACAGGAGCTACAGATGACCCCCTCCCTGGGGGACGGACAACAGAAAAGTGGGTGAAGGGAGACGTCGGACCGTGTAAGACATGGAAAATAATAATTTATAAATTATCAAGGGTTTGGGAGGCGGGGACGGAGGGGGGAAAATGAGCTGATACCAAGGGCTCAAGTAAAAAGAAAATGTTTTGAGAATGAGGATGGCAACAAATGTACCACTGTGCTTGACACCATGGATGGATGGACGGATGGTGATGAGTCGTAAGAGCCCCCAATAAAATGATCAAAAATAAATAAACGGGTAAAAAGGAAGACACTAAGAATTCCAAGTGGCCCAGCTGCGAACAGGACAGATGCGCCGCAGGGCCCAGAGGCGTCTCGCCCCGTGGTGGTCTGCTGGGTCACAGCCAGTCATGGAACAGCCACGAGGGAGGGACGGTCTGGTTCCGTCCCCACTTTGCAGATGAGCAACCTGCTGTGTGCAGCGGGTTCATGGCAGAACTAGAGGGACAGGGCGGACTCGGACAACTGGCTCTGCACCCCAGGGACAACCCTGGAGTGTACCCCCAATCGCAGAGGCTGCAGCAGGGTGCTGAGAGGGCCACCTGCTTGCCCGGGCCAGCCTCCCTTGGCTGCTGCTGCTACTCACCGCTGTCCCCCACACCCCCCATCACTCTGGCAGCAGAGGTTGAGGGCAGGAGGGCTGTTCATTTTAGAAATCGGTTCTGAGGAAGGGCTCCCGCTGCCTGACCCAGCATGAAGGTGGGGGCCCTCCCCGGGAGAGCCCCTGGGCAGCCAGTTCCCTGCACTCGCTCCCTCCCACACCAGCTCTATCTGAAGCCGCCCTCTCCACCCAGGTGGGCCGTTT